TTTGGGTTTTTGTTTTTTTGCGGCGGTCCGGGGGGCGGATGATTTGGGGGGGGGGGGGGGTTGCAACCCAGGCGCATCCCCGGGGCTGTTTTGCAGCCTGGCGCGCGCAGCGGTGGGACCTCGCAGCGCCGCTTGCAGCTGCGCCCCGCGCTGCACGTCGCGCTTGCAGTGGTGCAAGGGGGGCTCGTGGCTCTTGCCGTGCGCCGTGCTGTCCCTGCTGCAGGTGCAACGGGGCGCTGCAGCTGCAGACGTGCCTCCAGTGCAGCGCGCGCGGCCTTGCACTGCATTTTGTTGTCCACGGCCCAGTGCGCTGTGCTTGCACTGCAGCGTTGCATTTGCATTGCAGCGCCAGGTTTCCACTGCAGCGTTGCATTTGCATTGCAGCGTAGCACTTGCACTGCAGTATTGCATTTCCATTGCAATGCCAGGCTTGCACTGCAGCATTGTATTTGCATTGCAGCGCCAAGCTTGCACTGCAGTGTTGCATTTGCATTGCAGAGCCAAGCTTGCACTGCACCATTGCATTTGCACTGCAGCACCAAGCTTGCGCTGCAGTGTTGCATTCGCATCACAGTGTAGCGCTTGCACTGCAGCGTTGCATTTGCGTTGCAGTGTAACACTTGCACTGCAGCATTGCATTTGCAATGCAGCACCAAGCTTGCACTGCAACGTTGCATTTGCGTTGCAGCGCCAAGCTTGCACTGCAGCATCACATTTGCACTGCAGCATCAAGCTTGCACTGCAGTGTAGCATTTGCACTGCAGCGTTGCATTTGCACTGCAGCACCAGGCTTGCACTGCAGCACCAAGCTTGCACTGCAACGTTGCATTTGCATTGCAGTGCCAAGCTTGCACTGCAGCATCACATTTGCATTGCAGTGTAGTGCTTACACTGCAGCCCCACATTTGCATTGCAGCACCAGGCTTGTGCTGCAGTGTAGCATTTGCACTGCAGCGTTGCATTTGCATTGCAGCACCAGGTTTGCGCTGCAATGCAACCCTCCAAATGCAGCGCATAGTTTGCCCTGCAGCACCGAGCTTGCAGTGCGGCGCAACGCGGGCCATCCTGCGCCCGCCTCGCACTGCAGCACAGCGCGGGCACTGCGGCGCGGGCACGTGAAGCGCAGCGTAGGGTTTGCAGCGTGGCGGCGGGGGTTGCAATCCAGCGGATCCGTCTGTGCTGCAGCCGGTCGCTTCGCAGCGCCCTGCAGCGCCTGCATTGCGGTGCTTGCAGTGCAGCGGGTTGCATCGCAGTGCGGTGCTTGCAATGCATTGCACACCCCCGCCCCCAAGCAACCTGGGGTCTCCCCAAATCTCTGTGCCCCCCCCCAGCCCTCTTGGACCCCCCCCAGCTCCCAGGGACCCCCCCAGGA